TATTCAGATTGTGAACTAAAAGATCTTACGGTATGATAATATTACTTTTATTGACAAGATCAATTTGAATAATGAATGCACAAATAAGTTTGCAGTTATTACGTATTTATTTGACTGTTTTATTTTCATTGGAAATTGAAAACTTTTTTGAAAGTTATACATTTATTCAACAATTTAATGCAATAATTATTTACATAATTAATTATTAATGAACTATAAATATTAATATTATTGTTACTTATGAATTCGGTATTAAATTTTATTGGAAACTGAAAGTTTTTTTCAAATTTTTAGTTTTATTGACCAAATTAATTGTGTTTAAATTTTTTTATTAATTAATTTTTTGTATAAAAAATTAATTAATATTAAAATAACATAAATATAAAAATTAATATACTGTTACTTAATATTTGTGTAACATTCCATTTTAATAGTATAAAATTACAAAAATGAAATGTTATATAGGTGCTACAAGAACGACTAGATAAAACAAACCTTATCCAAAAAAGACATCTACTTTTGTAGATCTATCTAACAACTTATCTGCTTCTCCCTCACCTCTAGCTTGAATAACTGAAAAGGTGAATCCCTAAGCTCACACCATTAGGTAATTATCGCAAAAGAGAAACAACATACAAAGACAGACAACAAAAAAACAAGGATAAGTTAGATACAAAACAATACATCATAAGTTTAAAGTAGTTCATATAATAATCATATGTAATTTAATCCAATCCAAACATCTTAACATGCAAAGACCTAAATCGACTGTTCGGACTTAGAATGAATACCGAGTTATGGCGGGTTGTGCACTTTTGGTGGCCTCTACTGCTTTGCAAAGTCATTGTCAATGGGTTTCACCCTACCACCCACACGAGGTTAGTCTGTTACCGCGCAATAGGCCTCCAAGTAGCGCCTACACTAGGACCTCCTACTACTCTCACCACATGTATCAATTTTCTCTATTTGAGAATGAAAGATCGTTAGAGTGTTAGGTTAACCCCCAATAATGAGCTCCCTGTATTTATTCTAAAACACTTTAAATCGTACCGAAGGAGTTCCTTCGTGGAACCCATGTTACCAACCGTGAAACCATTTGAAACCAACTTAATCATGCATACTTCCACAATTGAATCACCACACATGTTATCAATAATCTTATAATACCATAGATACATTAACACCATTTAAACAATCATAAAATAGCTCAAGATTAACTCAAATAGAAACATTAGAAGAAAAGGTACAAATCTATTCGCTGAGCGACCAAACTCGCTAAGCGACCTAAGAGCCTTATCGTTGAGCGACCTAGCTCGCTCTGCGAATCCACAGATAGTGTCTCCAGACTCCAAACCTCTCGCTCAGTGACCCAATTCGTTGTGTGAATACATAAACAGTACCCCCAAGCCCAAACCACTTGCTCAGCGAACCAGTTCGCTGTGCGAATAAAACTCACAATGGTTCCAGACCCCAATCTCTCGCTCAACGACCCAACTCGCTGTGCGAAAACATAAACAGTGGGTTTTGCTCACTCACCTCTCGCTCAGTGCACCAAATCTGTTCGCTCAGCTAAAGCCCATTCGCTCAGCGCATCAAGTTTGTTCGCTCAACGAGACTGCATAATTCTACAACACCAAAACTGCAGATTTTGCGCATCTCAACCATTCCGGACCATTTTTAAGCACCTTTCTCAACTTCTAACACTCCTAGATTGTATTATATCATCAATTAGACTTAGACAACTTCATACAAACCATCCTCAACTCATTTTTAAGTGACTACTATAAGGTTCTACTCCATAATTTACCAAAAGCTCACTTTATAGACCCAACTTGGATTCTACTGGTTTTAGCTTGTTTTTAAACAAGTTAAGGACTCTAACAAGTCCCAACACACTCAAGAACATCAACTAAAATGACCAATTAGTCATAGAACCCTCAATTCAAGTTTTCACTACTCCATTTCCTAAAAACAAGTACTAGACTAATGTAAACTATATATATACAACCTCATACCTTCTTATAACAGATTTCCTCCCAATTTGACACTTAATTATGATCCAAAACAACTCCTAACCAATACCAACTGCAGCAAAATAATACACGAACCATTTCTCACCATTTCCCTATCAAAATCTCAAATTTGAACCAATTAACCTATAACCAAGATTACCCTTTTTCTTCCAACAATACAATCCGCATCAAACACTTCCTCAACACAATTTCCACATCTCAAACACGCATACACACAGAATCAAATAGTTGTACAACATACATCATCACACAAATCATCAATATTACTCAATTAACTCAGTTATCACTAACATCAAACAACATTTTCATTCAAACAATCTAATACTCATATACTATCAAACTTACACCACATACTTCAATTAAAAGTAATTATCTAACTTCCCTTACCTCTAAACCAACTGTCAAACCTCGCGAAACGATCCGTCGATTACTTGAACTGCAAGGAATACCTAGACGAACCTATGAAACACCAAATTGGAAACGAACAGAGTTCTTAGAACTCTAGATGAATCAAGAACATGTAGGAGATGCATGATTACACATGCAACAATACAATATTCCTCTAAAACAGATTTAGGAATGAAAAGGAAAAAAGGGAGTCGAAACTTACTTGCTCTATTAAAGAAACTGATCGGTTAGATTTGTAGACCTCGTTGCCGTGGTCGATTAGGTACCTTCTGATCGTCCAAGAGATAACTCAGGAGTTAGAACTCTTAGAGAGAAGATAAAGAACTCTAGAAAAGTAGTTTCTAGACAAATGATACGTTCTAAAATAATGAAACTCGTTTATAACAAAACTATTTATAATAAAACCGTTTAATATTAAAATAACCGAGTCTCACTATTTTTAGACTATCAATCATTTCTAAAAACTTCTGAGGTTTTATAATTTGAACGTATGTAATTATTTTTTACGGATAATAAAACTCGTTTCTACAAAAATGCTAATTATCATATTGAAGAAATTCAGAAAAAGAAAGAGATTTGACAAGACATGATATATGACTAAATTTGTCGTGACCTATTTAACTTTAGTTCTGAAAAATGAAAAAACAAGTTTGAAACTTTATAAGATAGGTGAAAAGTTGAAAATGGGATTTTAGTTGGTTTTGGAATAATGTCATTGCTTCAAAGTTGTTATCTTAAATATTAATGAATCAAATATATAACATTCAATGAGTTTTATATACAAGGAGATGAATTATGTAAAGAGAAGATTAAGTGAAATTTTAACTATTAAAAAATAAAAAATCTAAACTTTTCTTCTTTCAAAATTTAACAACTTATTTGTGAAATTATTTTTAATATAACAGTTCGTATTAGGTGTAGCAAAGATATTTAGAAAATAACTTATGCAAGATCAGATAATCAACTTCATATACATTTGCAAACACTGTCTATTATCCCAATACTCAGTTTCACTATAAACTTAATTTTAGACTTTGATAGCTATAAGATGAAAAAGTGGTCGTTTACGTGCACGAGAAGATTGATTAAGAATGTTGCCAAATTAAAAAAAATGATAATTTACAAATTGTTAATTTTCATTGTGCTAGAAATTTTATCAGATGCGAATGTAGGAAAGCACTGTTTCCTAAAAAATGGTGAAAGATGTTTATGGATGAAAGTCAAAAATTGAAGAGGTTTGTTCTCTTAGTTTTAAGATTGACTAATAGCTTTTCTGGATGCAAGTATAAATAGAATTCATTTGAAATGATAATCTTAAGTTATTTATAATTGTCTTTATCTGATTTATATATTTACTGATATTTCATATCAAATTATAGGTTCATACAAATAAGAAAAAAAAAGGTGAACAATTAGATTTATGCCATTCATAACTTAAAGTTGAAAAATAAACAAATTAGAAAAATTTTTATTCTTCCATCTTATAATAAGTTAGATGATTAATGAATAATTGAACAAAAGAGATTATGTTGTTGAGATTGAACAAGTCCAATGTACATGCGATCTAGGAAATATTCACTTAGAATAATAAAATATCCAACTTAAAATACATTTGATCTTTGAGAAAATAACTTTTGAAGTTCATCCGAAAAAAAATAATGGTAACATTATAAAGATGGTGGCCATATCATCGAAGATGGAATGTAAAAACCGACATTTTATAACCATTCCATTTTTATAACTTTATAATTTATGTTTTGTAATATTTATATAAACTTATTTATTAGAAACTTTATATAATTATTATTCATTACTATAGTTATTTTAATATTACAAATTTATTCTAACTATTTCACTTAATTATACTATTAAAATATTAAATAAATGTTTTTTATATAAATTTATTTATTTTTACGGAACTGTCCCCATTTATGTAAATTCTAGACTGATAATTTATCCACATAATTTGCAATGCACACAATCATCTTGCTCAAATCTTCAATCAATAAAAATAAAAAAAACAAATGAATTATCGTCAGTCTAGACTCTCATCTTTAAATAGAATCATATCATAACATTTTATGAAAATGAGCTTTATGGAACATCATCCCTTAAATAGTAGCCTACTGGAATTAAACCATCACACCAATCAAACCTTTGTATAAAGAACAATAATATGATTAATACCATAACAAATTTATACACGCAATTCACATCTACTATCTCTCTCTCTCTCTCTGTCTTTTTTTTTTAGTACAATATTTTCTCTAACTACTATATTATCCTTGAAAACTAGTTGTCAATATCAAAATTTTTATTTTCCATCAATAAACTATGTAAGCAACATTCAAGCGAAGAAAAAAGATATTTTAAGTATCCAAAACTTCAATTTATGCACCTTAACTATAGTAGAAATCAAATGAAGAAAAACAATTTTAAGTGTCCGAGTTTATTTTAACTTGTGCAAAACTTCAATTTATCTAACCTTATTCTCTTCTCTTATAAGTAAACGTAAATAAATTTATTCAAATAAATATAAATGTAATAAAACTAATGGCGTTTGGAAAAATTTACAACCGAGCAGCAGTTCCGCTGTAAGCACTGACATACTAATAATATAATTTTCCATCAAAGAATTTCCTAATAGAAGACAATGGGGAAAAGAGGAAATAATAAATTCTATAGAACTTTTATTAAACGAACATTCTCATACACGTTTACAGTATTTGATAGAAAATCACCACGAAAAGGGACTAACTCCTAGCAAAAATATTTCATTTTCCACATCTTTTACCCATTGACACACCCGATTGCAAGTCTTTATTGCCAAGGCCTGCGTATCTCAGTGTGCAAAAATAGTCAGGCTTTATCCAACCAGAGTAACAAAATAAATACCACCATTCCCCAAACAAATTTGAACCTTCAATATACTCCCTAAAGTATCATCCTCTCTCCTGAACAGTTCTTATAATAAGATTATACTAGTACCTAAAGAATTGGGTATCCTCAATTTAGTCCCTAGATTGATATATTTTACTCTTTGAGAGGGACTAATTCCAAGATTCTTTCAATATTTAAGGGACCATGAAGCATGGTATCTAATACTTTAGAAACAACTCACATAACTTCCTTAGTTTAAGGTCTATTTAGGGGAGAGAGTGATAATTTAGACACCAAATTGAAGGTTAATTCCCAAAGTAATGGACCGGAGGAATTTTTACCAACTGTTGCAATCTAAACATGAAATACTTTTTTGCAGATTTTCATTGAATGTAAATTATGAATATACAGTTGGCCGGTGATAGAAACTATAGTAGGTAGAGAACCTTGACCTTTTTGTATAACAATAATTGAGATTTGCGAAATGTTGTAGGCAAGAAAAAAAAAATACCTTGTCTGCAAGGGGATCAAATGCAGCATAAAGCTCAAAATCCTGTGTTACCCAACAAAGCAGTACTGCCAAAAAAAAATATCCAACAAGTCTGATCACTGTCTGTTCGACAAAGCATCCAAATGAAATAGCACAACTATATCTCAATGCATTTCATTAGCAGATTTGACTTTTCACAGCACAACAAAATTTATAGATTGGCTTATCTATTATTCGTTTTAATCTCTATTTGCATCTCACAGAAAATAAGGAGTTCGCTCATCAATAGAACCACTCCATTTGAAACATCCAGGACTAAAACCACGGGGATATGCCACAAAAATGACTTTGATCAACCCCCCCTTCTTCCCCACAAGAAGAAAATCACAGTTGAATTTCAAAAAAAAAAATATTGCAGACCCTTCTACAGAGCAAAACAAAAAAATAGTTACCGTAGTTTTCATCCCTTCTAAACTGGGTTTTGTGTGGCCCAAGTCCTTTATCATGCATGGATGCAAAAAGTTTTTGGTAAGCTCTATACAATCTGCAACAATGGAGGCAAGTTATACTGCTGACAATAACAATTAGGCAATAAAAAAAGACACAGCTACCCAAAAACCAGAGATGTGTCCACAAAATCACTACCTTTTCTGCTGCTTAGGAGTATTAATAGGCGATGAGAACTCTGAGGATATATATTGATCTAGAAAAATGCTACGATATATGAAATGCCACAACCCAGCAGCACCACCAATGCCACAATCAGGTTCTCTTAATCTTTCAGGAGAATCTGATGGAAGCCTATGCTGACCTAAACGTGAAGATCCTGAATAAGGTAAGGGAGGAAGATCCTCCACACGCATCCCACCATCTACCAAGGATCTCTGAGCTTCACTGAGGACATTTGACTTCACAAGGACAGTTTCAATACTAATCCTGTGAATTGGCAAACAAATTTCTGAGCTATGAACGCAAGACATATTGCTACATAGAGAATGGGGATCTCTTTGCTATGAACCATCATCTGTTTTCCTCTTTTTAGTTTTATTCAAAATTAGAATCACGGATCCTATAATAACAGCAGTCAGACCATTAAACTATCATTTACCTACAATCCTTAAGATGGTAAAATGCATCAGAACTCGTGGTCAGCAACATCAAATACGTATCATCCTGCCAAATATTTACATGTCACGATCTGTGTGAACTCTTTCATTTATAAGATGAAAATCATACAGCAAATTTTAGTGCAATCAAATCCAACAACTCACATAAAAAAAGTGGATATAAGCGTACAAAAATGCCAAAGCATTGTATCGTGGCAAGCAAACAGGAGAAAATGCTTCTGAAGTCCTGCATATTCATATCCCAATAAATTTTAAAAAAAATGTAAAAAGGTAACATTGACAAAGGAATTGATTTGCAAAACATTTGCTATTAATTAATTGCTGCACATTGTAGAGCATTGCAGAATATTTGTTATTATTCATGCAGATTCCTTGGTTACAGATATTGCATGATTGTACAACTATAATTATATAATTATCTCCATAATTGGTAGCAAAAACATTTATTAAAAAATATTGTATCATCACTAATTAATGAAGAATTCTCAAGAGGAGAATACAGATTTGATTTGCATCTTCTCTAAGTCTAATAACCATAAAGCAAAAGAAGTTTTACCGTTTGAGTCAAGGTAGACTGAATAAATACAAAACTACGCCGTCAAACAGAAACTAGAAAGTCTACATTAAATAAAAACTATACTATCAAAAAATCTTTGAAATGATGGCTGAAAGATAAAAGTAGTTTCAGTTTTACTTGCCTAAAGGACTCAGATGACATAACAAAGTTGGTCAAGAGCAGCATATCATCTGGATGAAGAGAGGCTTTCTGAGCACCAACTAGACTGATTACCTGCCTTCAACCTTTAATGAATTATTTTATCATGTTATGTTAGCATGTAAATAGACAAATTCAGTGTTGAACCTTATGTCTGCACATCAGAATTGCAAACAGAACACCAGAATCAATAACGTCTTGCAAGATGGCACTAGCAGCTTGCCTTGTTGCATATGCAAGAGGCAGACAAGTATAGGCATGAAGAAATGTAGCCGGGTTCCTGAAACAATCAGATGAAGAACAATATTCACCATCAAAAAATAAAATTATTGAGAGATGTATATAACCCTTACTCCCCCAACCACCAAAGAAATTCATAGAAATATACATAAAAAGCACCAAAAATCCCTCTCTAATCTTATAGAAATCTTTTAACATTTCTACAACTAAAAGGCAAAAATGTGTTCAGAGCAGAGAAACAAACCAACTAAAAGAGTGGACTAGTGAAGAGAAAACAAGGTCTGTTCCACCAAGCAAGGGTGTCATATCAAACTTTGGATTCTTCTCAAAACATCTGTTTACTGACTTTGTTAGTATAACAATAATCTGCATACATAACAATAATAGAGATGCATCATATAACCGCTGCAACCTAACTAGTCTATTTCAATGACATAAAACAGACACAATTACTAAGTTCAGAAACACAAAAGCTGAAGAAAAAGGAAGCAAGCAAACAATAAATCCACTTTTCCATTGGGCACATAAGCATCCAACTCAAGTCCAACACAATTATACCTGGCCATGAAAAAGCTCCAACTGTCCCCTTAGTGACTCATAGGGTTCTTCCGTGCAGCTGATGCAGACCAAGTAAATTGGTCCTTTTACAAGAAAAACCACCTGTAGCATAAATTCAAACAAGATTTCACAATACAATCGTTTTATTGGTAAAAGATAAAAGCCTCTTCCCCCTAAACACTAATAACATAAGGTGAGCAGCTCATTAATCAAAAAGAAAAAAAAATATGGGCATGCTTGGATTAACCTCTCTATAAGCCCTTATAGGAAAAAAAAATAAGAAAAAAAAATGACATTAGTTTCTCCAGAAGCAGAAAATAGCTTACGCACAAACTAATTTGTAGAAGTTCTCTCAAATAGCCTCTTTAAACTTTCATTTATATAACTTACATATAAGATAATTTTAGCTTATCGAGAATTTAATTTCATTTTTTATTCTTATTCAGAAGTGCTTATGGAAAGTTTGTCCAAACGTATCTTACATCCTGTGTCTGTAACTTACACTTCAAAGCTCAGAAAGGATTAAGATATCATTGTGCTTAACATAGTATTTATTAGGCTTGAAAGTAATATCTAAATGAAATTATACTTATGAGAAAAAAACTTTTACAAGAGATAACTGTATGATCAAACCTGATGCTTTCCGGCCCTCACCAATTTCACATGATCACCCCTGAAAACATAATAGAGCTGTTAGAAAAATCACTCAAATTATATTCAGTTGAGACTGGACTGTAGTTAGGAACACTGCTGTAATTAGAAACTATTGGGCTATAATTGTCAGAACAAAGACAGCTATAATACCCATTTTCCACAAAGGAAATGATTGCTTGCAAAGTTGCCGAAAAACCAGCAAGCTTGTGTTCGTCTCCGTACCTGAGACAAGAAATCGAGGAATGGGATGTGAAGTTCTGAGCCAGCAATCCTAGAAAGAGAAATGAACAGCAATTTAGGGGAGTTTGTTAAGCTGAGAAACACTAACCTAGAATATATTGGTTTGCCAGAATGACTGAGAACAAAAAAATGCTTCTTCCTTCTCCTCCATGAAATGGAAGCATCATCCTGCACTTTATTCATCAATCAAACAGAATATGATATTACAGCCTTTACCAGAATCTTCGCTGTAGTGCCGTCATTTTAAAGAATCCATATCGGAAAAACTAAGTTCTTAATCAGAACTGCCAACTAGCTCAAAATATCCACAAGATTTTATTGAAATTCAAAAGCAATGCTTGAAACCAAAATATTATTTAGTCAAGATTGTTACCCATATTACCGCACAATTTTGTCATCGTATTAATTTATACTCGAGCATTTAATTTTGACTTGCAACCAGAATCGTAACTACGACAGCAAATGCTCAGCGGCCAACCCCCTTTCCCTGGCCAGAATTTCACGCTTGTGATTCTACAACACTGATCATTTCCCCACAGTTTCTATTTATGTAATAAACTCAAAATCACGATCATCATTGAGTCAGTACGATAATTAAATTGAGAATTAAAATAAAAAACTGTCTTTGAACAAACCCTATACCACATTGCAGCATTTAATCTCCACCGATGAAATCTAAGGAATAAAAACAACTGAAAACAAAAGGAAGTCCAGTTTCAAATTTATCACTCTTCTGTTCTAAATGCGCTAATAGAATTTTGAAATCACTCTTTAAACACTAGTTCATCATAGTGAGTAATGGCACAGGAAGCACGAAAGAACAATCAGTATGCGCACAAAAAGATCCTAAGAAACAGGTTTCGAAATTATTCACTAGATACGCCTAATTTGCATTACGCCGAGATCAATAGCAACGGTCACGCAACTCTACATGAACCTGTAATCTAATCTTAGATCAATAATCGGTTAAGTGTAATTGTTCATGAGAGTGAGTGTGCGAAGGACGTTATGATGAAGTAGGAAAGAATTTAGCGAGAAAGGTATATATACCTCATCGCTGTGTCGTTTTCCGGGAAGCCGAGAGGAGTGAGAGAGAGGTTGGGGATCGTCGATGGTGATCTCCTGAATTTCGTTATGAAGGACCTCTTCGACCTGGGAGACAATTGTGGCGGTGCTGCTACCCTGCTCGGCGGCGTAACCGCTGCTAGTAGGGCTAGAGGGATCAGAGGAGTGTCGGACGGCGGATCCATTGGGTTGTTGAAGCTCCGATGGTTCCGCGTCGAAGAGGCTCGGTGAGAGGGGAGGCAGGTTGAGCCGGATAGGAGGCTCAGGGTCATGCGCCGATGAACTCGTCTCGCTCATCGCAATTCAAAGAAGACACAGAGAGAGAGAGAGAGAGAGAGAGAGAGAGAGAGAGAGAGAGAGAGATGGTGTTTGTTGCGTGCTTAGGAGGAGATGAGTGAGTCTGAGTAGACGCGTCCAGGGTGCAACCCGCCACGCAGTACAATATGTGGGCTGGCATAGTACGTTTCGCAAGGCCCAACTCTGCAATTTGCCACAGACAGCTTGTTCCTGCACCCCATTAAACTTCTCCATGCACCCCTATATAAAAAAAAAATATACATTTTTTTCCGATTATATAACTTATAAGTCATTTTTTCTAAAACAAATAGCTCTAGAATTACACAACTCATAAGTCATTTAAATTATAAAATAAAAAATAACTTCCAAAAATTAAGAGAATTAAGAAAAAGATAATTTTGAATTGTTTATTTTGAAAAGATTAAACCCCTTTAGTTGTTCCTATTTATGTGAATTTTTTTCAGTTTGATCTCCATTTTTCTAAAATCCCCAATTGAATCCTAAAAAATACTAATTTGAATCAATTGAGCCCATTGCCGTTAATTTGGCTTAACAGGGTTAAGTTTTTGCTGAGATTGGAAGTTGACGTGTCAATTTTTTTTAAACGTGACATTCGCATACCTTTGTACGTGGAATATATTATTAAAAAGAAAATTATGAAAATTGAAACCCAAAGGTTCATCGTCTTCCTCAAACATCGACATCGTCTTCCTCAGACATCGAGCTATCTTTCGTTGGCATTTTATCAGAGAAAAAGAAAATGAAAGATGACCGGGGCTTGAATGAGTTTTCGCGTTTGGAATCGGGGTTGAAATTGGGTTTCCTGATTGTTGCGATTTTGGGTGTTCTCTTAAATCTTTTATAAAGTTTTGGGTCTCACGAAATGGGGGTTAAGGTTTGCAATTTGTTCTTGCAAATTGGGGTTTTTGATCTTGTTTAGGAATTATCTTCTAGGTGCTATATTCTTGTTTTCTCAAATTGTGTTTTGGGGTCAGAGTTCTGCTTCTTGTGTTCTTGATCTCGTAAGTTTCATTTGAGTTGATGATCGAGATTTTGGGATTATGGCTTTCAGGTTCTGTTTTGGAATTGGGGTTCCAATTTTGTGATAACAACAATTATTCTAGATATTAAAGCACGATTTGGAGAAGCCAAGCGATGGCTCAAGACCGGTTGGAATGTTAAGCACCTGGAAGAAAGAGGTTTGAGATGGATCGAGACTGGTGTTGCCAGGGGGAACAACGACATCAATTGGGGCAACCAAACCACCAGGCGAAACAACGGACTTGCAGTGTTGGGTGGTGTTTCAATGACGGTGAGTGAGGTTGATGAAGATGTTCGCAAATTAGTGGTGAAATCAAACTCGGGACAGCGTTGCGATTCGCGTTCAAGGGTTCTGCTGGAGAAGATGAAGATGGTTGCTGGAATGTTATAAATTGATTGCGTAACGGCAGCACAAGGTGGTCTTGCAGCGGCGACGCTGGTGTTGGGTGATGGCGAGGTTGGGGCAAGGCGGTAGGGTGGATGACGACGGCCTAGGGTTGCCCATGGTGCTGACGGCGACACAAGCACATTCCTCTTAGCATGCCACGTTTACAAAAATTGACACGTCAATCTCCAACCTCAGCAAAAACTTAACCCCGTTAAGTCAAATTAACGGCAGGTAGGACTGGGCAAAGTTAACTTAAAATACTTAAACTATAGTTAATCCATACTTTTTTAAACTTAAAAAACTAATAATACAGTTAACTAAAAACTAATTAAACTAATTAATAATACATTCTAAAAATACTGAACTATTTTACATTCAGTGCAGTTAACTACAGTTTAGGTTTATATTTGTTTTCCCAATCACGGCTTCATTTGCTTTCTGCCTTACATCCCGTTCATCCCACTCACTCGCTGCTGCTGTTGAAGGTTGTCATTGTTGAAGGTTGTCGTCGACGTTACCGTTGTTGAAGGTTCGCCACCGTCGAGGTTACCGTTGTCGAAGGTTTACCGTCGTCGAAGGCTTTGCCGCACTCTGTCATCGCCGAACTGTCGAAGGTTCTTCCACCATCGTCGAAGATTCTGAGAACACTTTTCCTTTAACTGGAAAAGAGAAGCAAATCTGGAACCCTAAGGTACGAATGTTTTTCCTGTTGTTCAAACATTTTTGAAATGTATTCTTAGTTGTTCAAACATTTTATTAGACATCTTGTAACGATTGCTTGTACGTTGAGAGATAATAAGGGTGTTCTTGTTTTCTTTCTTTAACTTCTTTCAATACGATTTGCTCTAGTAAACTCATTTTTCTCTTCCAGTGTCATATCTAGCATGCCAATAATTTGTCCTTGAATTTTTTCGAAATCAGGATTTTCTGTAATATTTGCTATGATCACTCTCTTGAACAACTTTTCTTTAGCTTTCTTAGCAATTTCTTTAACTAAAAAGGTCTTACCCATACCAGAACGCCCATAAACTCCAATCATATCTACTGTTGAGTCTTCCAATGATTTCATAATCATCTCCAATGTTCTAGTTTTAGATGCAAAGCTCACATAACCACTGTTTGAAATAGCATAATCATGGGATGGGTATTCTTGATACGAAACTATGTGAAATTTCTTTTCCCAAAGTCCATCTTCTATGGTTTTATCTACCATCTTTGTAGCTTTTCTACCAAGCTGATACCTCAAATGGAAGTTATTTGGAAGGAAACCAATTGAGCATATTTTCTTTTCATGACATTCATCATCAATATAACTTAGTGTCTTGGAAAAGGGCCAATTTTTGTTGAAAAGCAGTGCCACAGTATTATGGTACTGTATTTGCATTTTATCCCAATTGTATTGTCAATGTCAACAACACTACTAAGTTCAAAGTTCTCGCTAAAGTTTGATACCCTATGAATATAAAGAACAATCTTATAACTTTTATTCATTATTTTCCTTTTATCAAAACATATTGTAGATCACATTCAATTTTTGTTAAAATAGGGGATAATCTAAATTAGTTTTTGTCCTCCGTTCTGTGTCTTGAAATTGAATTTAGTTTCTGAATTTGTATTCTGAATCTGGATTTTTTTCTATCTGTCTTTGCTTTGTTTACACTTTTGGAAAGCATTGGTGGCATATTCTCCAGAATTTGAAAACCAATAATAATGGTGCAATAACTTGCCAACTGATTTAGTAAATCTGGGTTTGTAGAGTAATTTTTGTGCTCAAGCATTGTTGTCATCTTTGCTTTCCCAAAAGCAGGTTTCTCACCTCAAACTCTTTTCTAAGCCACCCTTTTGATTTCTCTTCACAAAAAGATCCATGGCGTGTTTGGAAACTCATCAAAAAGTTAAAAAAAAGTTAAAAAAAAAAAGAAAAAAGCACGTTTAGAAACGCGAAAACTGTAACAATTATAGATTAACTTTGTGCTATTCTAATTCTACATGCAGTGTTTGGTTCTGTACGAGATAGAAATGTGGATTGGATTCCTTGCTTTTTTATCCCGAAGCATGTGAATAATCACATTTATATTTGTTATTCCATGGTTAGCATTATGGTTGTGTCGGTCTTATTCCATCTTTATTGTTTTATCAGAAAGCATTTGTCTGTCTCTGTCCCCATCCTTTTTCATCTGTGTGTGTAGGTTTTTCCCAAGCAAGTATAACAGAGAGATAAAGTGTTTGAAGATGGAGGTGGAGACTCTGTTGATGGAGATCATACAAAGCAAAAAAGACTGTGTGGAGATCGGAAGAAGCAACTCTTATGAGAAAGAAAACTCTTATGTTTAGCTTTAATTGAGAACTGTAATTATCTGTAATTGAAAACTGTTTTCAGTATCATTTAGCTTTAATTCTAAACTGTTTTCACAAAACAGTTTACTGAACTGTATTGCAGTTAACTGAACTAAAAAAAAGTTCAGTTCAGTTTTTTTGAACTAGTTTTTAGTTAAGTTCAGTTTTTTTTGAACTATTTTATAGTTAATTGTAATGGGTTTATAGTACAGCGCAAATAGTGTAGTTTGTCCATCCTAACGGCAAGGATTCAATTGATTCAAATTAGCACTTTTTAAGATTTAATTGGAGATTTTAAAAAAAATGGAGATCAAACTGAAAAAAACCCACATAAATAGATGCAACTAAAGGATTTTAACCATTTGAAAATTATAGTTTTGAATGCTACAATTTGAAAGTTAAAAGTGACTATGACTTATGAATTATATTTTATACAATTTGAAATTCATTTTTTATTTTTGAATTTTACAGAATTGAAAATTTACTTTTGACTTTAAAAATAGCCATTGAATTAGGACATGAGAGTATCCGAAAATTTTGGCTTATTTAATGATTTAATTTTTATATATTTAGATAAATGAATTAATTTTATTTTTATATGGAATTTTTACAAATTCTAATATTTTTTAAATGTAATCAATTTAATTATTTTTACTTACGTTATTTGGGAGGAGTCACGCATAAAATTTGGAAAGTATGACATGTTAAACCGTTTCAAAGATATCATGTATCAAAATTTATAATAAATCACATGTAAACTAGGATATTCTCAATTAAAAAAATTCAAATTTGAATATGACACCTTTCAAACAATATTAACAAGAGATTCTAATAAATTAAAACTTAATTAAGTAAAAACAAATATAACACCCAAAATACATCATGTAACTAGATATATAAATTAAATTATTAAT